CCCTTGAAGTCCCTCATGAAGGTCATGAGTTCGTTCCTTGTGATGGGAGTAGACCCATCAGTCGGCTGTTGCCGAACAGGCGGCGCGCCTGCTGGCTCGCTTCCTGTATGAAGATGTTCCCGTTCCCTCCTTTCGGTATGACGGGTACGTCGGGCCTTTAGGGTCCCGTCTGAAGCTGTGTGAGCTTCAACTTAAAATTCATTCTCAGTATCGTGGTCCGACTGAACTAGAGGGTCGTCCAAGGGACGTCTTTCTTCAGGAGTCGGTACAAACGTGGATGCCATCTCAGAAGTACTCTCCCCACAGACGGCGCCAAAATGTTTCGGGGTTTTCTGATGTCCTGCGGGAGAGTTACAATTTCGAGACTGGAACCGGATGCCTGTACCTGCAAAACAAACGGATGCTCCGGATGATTGGAGATCCGCCTCCGACGGTCAAGTTAGTACTTGATTAAGGAGTAATTAATGCGGAAATTAAAGTGATTGGGTCTCTCTAGGTGAGAGAGTTTAATGTGTGTAATCTGCGTTTTTTTCTCTTAATGAGGATTAAGGGAGGTATTTATAACCTCGGGAAACGTGCCAATCTAGGTTTAGGTTAACCTTGGGTTGATTGGGCTTCCCTCGGAAGTTGGGCCTTGGTGACCAGTTATCCCAGGTGTCATGGGAAGGACACGTGGCAGGCTCCTATTGGCCCATGTGACGGACACATGGCGGAACCTGATTGGTCCACTTGTCAGATGGTGATTGGTGGGAAAAATCCCCTAATCACCATGGATGACTTTCCTAAACCAGCTAGCAAAGAGGATGTACGGTTGCTTACATTGTCCATGAGGGAGGGATCAAGCTTGCTACGTGAAGCTCTCAAAGTTGCGAAGAAACAATTAGAGGAGCTTCAGAAAAAGTGTGACAAGGTTCCAGCCACAAAGAAGAAACTAACCCTTCTCTTTACAAGTAATTGAAAGACCCAAGAAGAGTAATAAACTCTATACTCCGATTGGGATTCCCTACGCTAAAATGTTCAAAATGCTCTCTGAGAGTGGCAAGGTCAAACCTTTCGAACCGAGACCATTTGAATCGCTAAAGAGGATAGATAGGTTCTACTGTCAATAACATCAATCAGGGTGTCACACAATTGAAAACTGTTTTAAATTTAAGGATTTAATTCAGAAAATGATTGATGATAAAAAGCTAGTCCAAATTCCACAAGAAGAAGATATTAGCATCAATGGGGTTTGGGACAACGATGATGAAGACGTCTATCTTAAGGATATGGAAGAACCTCCACTTTCAGTCATATATCCAATAAGCGATTTTTAGGATGAAGAAGATTCATCTATAAACATCCTCACATGATCTGGTAGAACGCAACCCCCAATCTCAACACAACCTATACCGACTACGCAGCAAGTTCCCATACCTATCATAGAAGACAATGATATTGTCAAACAGTTCAAGGTTGAAATGAATGTATGGAAGCTTCTAGCAACATCTCAAGAACATTGGATAGCAGTGATGAATGCCTTTGGTAAGATAGAGATAGATTCTTACACCACTCCTGAGGGTTGGCTAACTTCTTTATGAGTGATCTCCCTAGTCTTATCGACTTAATCACCTTTTCTGACAAGGATTTTCCTCTAGAAGGTGAGAAGCATTATAAAGCACTAAACCTCACAGTAGTTTGCAAGAGAATGAACGTCCTTATGACTCTTGTAAACAATGGATCGACAATTAATGTCTGTCCACTCAGAACTGTGAGGATGCTAGGCATAAGGGATGAAGACTTAACCCCGTCAACACACGGAATAAGAGCTTATGATAACACTCGTCGTCAAGCTCTTGTTAAGATTACCATAAATATAACGTCAGAAGCGATAGAACACGCTACTACATTTCAAATGGTAGATATCAAAGCTTCATTCAACTTACTGTTGGGACGCCCTTGGCTTCATGACCTAAAGGTGGTCCCTTGATCGCTCCACAAGCAGGTAAAAGCCATAGTTGGAGGAATTCCTATTACGATCAATGCTTCACCCATGAGGATTAAAGCTATAGAAAATCCAATCATTAACGTGGAGCACGATGAAGACGATGAAGACTTGTGGGGCTTTAATGAAGAGGTCTCCTTAATCGAAGAAGATGAAAGGATCCCTCTCTACCACGACCCCGACTCTAATATGACAATGAACACTATTCTTAAAAAACAAGGGCATTTTCCTGGAATGACTCTAGGAAAGAAGAAAGGAATAGCAAACTCGCTGGAATTACCTGGCCTCCCTAAGTTAGACACTTTCGGACTTGGTTTCGAACCGACTCGGGAAGATCTCAAGCGAGCCCAGGGAAAGTCAAAGGCGCGTAAGAACGCTCGCATCCAAAAGAAAGCAATCCCAATGCATCAATATCCTCTTACTCTCAATGGACAATTCAGTCCCGAACCGTTTTTTGTAAATGGCATAAGGCAACCGGGATTCAAAATTTTCCTACATTGCTATTTTCTAGATGAAATCCCAACTCCTATCCTCAAGAAGAAAGCACCCCCACGCTTTGACTTTCATGTCATTGGATTACCATTTGGGTGAGAAAAAGATGAGCCGAGGTACATAGAGGATAACTCCCCGCTCATCCAAACGGTCCTACAAAGCGAAAACTTTGACCCCTCGAAGCTCATCACTCCAGCAGAAGGATCACTACAAGGATGGTGCAAGACAGTCAAGGTGACTACTCCAAGTGGAAGGAGAATCTCCATAACGACAGGGCAAGGACCGATGTTCGAAGAGTCGTCTGAGTTAGAGTCAAAGTCTGAGTCCTTTCCTATAGAGCCATCTAAGTCCTTATATATATCACCCCCTTCTTCTATCTCTTCCCCTGGTATAGTTAGCAATCAAGTCCCTAAGGACAAGTCTCTTTTCGAAGTAATGATTTTTGAGTTTAATAATATGTCTTCGTCCTCTTACTCCTCGTGCTTTTCTTTAATCCAAGATGACGAGCATTGCTTAACTAACAATGAAAATGACAAAGAAATTATTAAAGCAATGGAAACACTTGAAAAGAAAACAACGATAATTGAGGAAACTGAGACAGTTGATATCTCAAATGATTCAACCATTAAAAGAGAAGTTAAAATCGGATTAACACATGATGAACAAGAAAGAACCGATTTAATCAATCTACTTAAAGAATTTATTGATGTATTTGCTTGGTCATATGAAGATATGCCAGGCATTAATAGAGAAATAGCTCAACACACCATACCACTAATTCCAGGAATGAAACCTGTAAAAAAAAAGTTACGTCGAATGAAACCCAACGTAGCTCTTAAAATAAAAGAAAAAGTTCAAAAACAAATAATTGTAGGTTTTATCAGGGTATCCAAATACCCCGAATGGGTGGCCAATGTCTTCCCAGTTCCGAAAAAGGATGGAAGGGTAAGAATGTGTGTCGACTATCGAGATATAAATAAGGAAAGTCCAAAGGAAGACTTCCCTTTACCACACATCGATATTTTGGTAGATAATACAGCGAATCATGCACTTCTCTCGTTCATGGACGGATACGCGGGATACAATCAAATTCCCATGGCATAAGAAGACATGGAGAAAACAACCTTCATAACACCATGGGGTACTTACTGCTACACGGTAATGTCATTCGGGTTGAAAAACACGGGTGTTACTTACCAACGAGCAGCGAGTGCCTTACTCCATGACATGATGCATAAAGAAGTTGAAGTATATGTGGACGATATGATTGTGAAGACAAAAGATCGCCCAGGCCATCAATTAGCCTTGAGAAAATTCTTCGAAAGGCTAAGAAAATACAACATGAGGTTGAAAGTGTGCTTTTAAAGTCACCTCAGGCAAGCTTTTAGGTTATGTCATAAGCTCTAGAGGAATAGAGATAGACCCAACCAAGATTAAGGCAATCATGTCAATGCCACCGCCCAAAACCGAGAAGCAAATTCGAGGATTTATTGCCCGGTTGCAATACATAAGCAGGTTCATATCAAAATTGACAACAATAAGTGAACCAATATTCAAGAAGATTAAAAAGAATGTACCAGTAATATGGGATGATGAGTGTCAAAAAGCCTTTGAAAAGATCAAAGCCTATCTCGCAAATCTTCCCGTATTAGCACCAACACTTCCAGGAATACCTCTTAGGTTGTACTTAACAGTCACCAAAGAAACAATGGGAGCCATGCTTGCACAAGAAGTAGAAGGTAAAGAAAATACAATCTACTATTTAAGTAAAAAGATGCTCGAGTATGAAGTACGCTATACACCACTTGAAAAATTGTGTCTCGCATTGGTGTGGGCCACAACCAAGTTAAGACATTACATGCTCGTGCATACAGTCTTTGTAGTTTTCCGAATGGATCCACTCAAGTATTTATTCAAGAAATCTACAATCAATGGACGCATATCAAGATGGATAGTCAACTTAGCCCAGTTCGATGTAAGATTCATGCCTCAAAAAGCTATCAAAGGATCTGTGGTCTCAGATTTTCTAGCGGACGTACTTTCCAATAGAAGATTCTACGCCAATACATGACAATGAATATCCAGAAGAAGACTTGATTGTCACAGAAAGTGATACCTGGACCTTATACTTCGATGGAGCCTCAAACCAAAAGGGATGTCGCGTTGGATTATTACTACACTAGTGGAAAAATAGTTGTCCGTAACGGGCAAAAAAGGCCTATCCGTAACGGGCAACGGGCATTACGTATGCCACCGTTACGGATATCAAGTGTTATTTGTAACGGGCAGTGTCCGTTACGAATATAACAAGTTATTCGTAACGGGCAGTTGAAATGCCCGTTACGAATAACCCGGTATTAGTAACGGACATTTCAAGTGCCCGTTACAAATAACCCTGTTATTCGTAACGGGCAGTTGAAATGTCCGTTACAAATAACTTGTTATTCGTAACTGGCTGCCCGTTACGAAAACAGGGTTATTTGTAACGGGAATGATGTTTGCCCGTTACAAATAGTGTTACCCCTAGCTTGCATAATAATTATAGCACAATTATTTTATTAATTAATTGAGATAAAAATAGTGCTTCATATTTATACAATAATAAAAATAAAAAAAAAATACATTTATTATCCTCTAGTAACTAAAACTAAAAAAAAAAACAGAGCAAAAGAAAATCTCAATGGCAATAAGAGATTTAAATGATTTTCCACTAAATTAATGTTAAATCATTTACATCTTCCACCAATTTTTCAAGTTAGTGCAACTTTAATCTCAAATTTTGTGACAGCATCAGTAAACACTTCATCTTCCGATCTGGTCGACCTACTTGATCTATTACCAACTCCACTGCTAGTCCTCCTGTTTATAGTAGTCTCCAAAACTTTACCACCTACCAAATATTCAATCAAAAACCCACCTTCAAAACCATCATTCATACAACATATATCAAGCAATTAACGCGAAATAAAATCGATTATTACTTGGGCTCGCATGTTCATCAAGAATGATTCAGGGATCTTTGTTAAGAGGATTATTATTGAGCATCAGCATAGTAAATTCTGGGGTCAAAGATGCCATACCACTTGGAATCTCCTCAATTTTGTTATGACACAATGACACCTTTACCAGACCATTGCTTCATTGCTCCACTTCAAGCAATTTTCCTAGATGTATCTCTGCATTCTTCAAGACTCTGAGGTTATCTGATTCAAACAATTTGGCTTTTGAAAACTGATGAATTCATAACCAGTCGAGTGCCACAAGCAGATGTACAGCAAACAATTTCTTTTTCATATGAAGTCAAACCACTAGATGCAAACCAGAGCTGGCAGCTCTTATCAAGCTAAGGAAAGTACTTGAAGGGGAAACTCATTCAAACCTAGAGAGCCTCGGTAAAAGTCAAACATACACCTATAATTTTTGGATCGTAATAGGACTATTATAAACTAATGAATGTAGTCCACAATAGAAACTAATTGAAATCTATGTATCAACCAAGTATAATAAAGCACCACAATTATAACATGATAAGTAACTAAACATGAGCCAAAAAAAAACCCAATTTAAATGAGGTTAAACAAGAAAATAAGTAAAGATAAACAATGACAGAAGCTAATAAAAAATATGCGTACCCTGATGGTGTTGTAGTGGCTCCAGCTGACTTCTATTGATAGACGGCCAAGCAAGCAGTATTTGTGACCCTTTTGAAGCCTCAACACCCTGAATTAAACCAACATGTGACACTGTTAATACTTAGAGGCAAAATGTCACAAAAAAATCAAATTTGAAACTGTAATCAACAAAATTAAGAATGATCAAACTCACTTGAGAGTGTCGGGAACAACAACCCTCTTTATTTTGTCATAAGGTGGGGGAACTCCCTCATACACCTTCAACCTTGCCAATGATGCAGCTCCCCTCTTTGTCTTGTGAGGAATCATACTAAACAAGCAATTTCACAATCAATACCATTTACCACAAACGATGATCACTAAACAAAAAATCAAACTCTAATCACAAGGAGACCAGAACCCCTAAAACCATAAGCGTGTATTAATCTACGAGAAGATCCAACCATATTTTATCTCACAATTCAATCTCTTTCTTATACTCTATATTTTTCAAGTAATAAGAGTTTTTTTAATAATGTGGCACACAAACAAATAGAGCAATTTGTGAGAGGAGATAAACATGAATGTTAATCTTGGAGAATAACTTTAAATTGGATATTATCAAAAGCAAGGATAATTCCTATATCACACAATAAGATAAAACTTTGTAAGTAGAAGCAATGAAAATTCCCAAGTTATAAGAAGGAGAATAATCCATACTGCTTGGTAATATTGAATTTTTTTTTTATAATTGATACAGAGTATATATGTACAGTATATAAATTGAAACTAACAAGATTAATAAGCATATTTTTAAACATGAATTGAAACGAAGGAGAAAATACCAATTGAAAACTATATATTTCCAGATATGAAAACTATATATTTACAGATATGAATTGAAACTAACACATTGAAAGAACATTAACTAGCATATTTTAATACTTAAAATCCCAATTCACAACTAGAAAATATCTTACTTTTTTCACATAAAGTTTAGCTTTTTTCTACTAAAAATAAGAGTTATAAAACAAAACATCAGCCAAAAATATCTTACAATTTGTTCATGATATTCCAAAAATTCAAAAATCTAAAATAAGCATCAAAACCAATACTCGCTAAATAAAGATGAAATAACACAAAAATAACAAACATAAAAATTCAAGACAGGTTTTGAGAGGAAGAAAATTCAGATAAAAAGATAACAAAGAAATTGGGTAAAAAAATGAAACATATAACACAATCATAATACCCAACATGCATATCCTAAATTTAGGTGAGAAACGTCTAGACCAAAGCAGGTAGTATTTCAAACACCACAAAATCCCAAAATCAATGAAAAAAAGCCAAAAATCCGTGCTTAAGAACACATAAAAATGCAAATAATTGACAAACATAACATAATCAAAGCAAATAATTCCTCAATTACCAGAAAAAAATGCAAAAACATACAAAGAAGCAAAGAAACGCATAAATAATTACAATTACAAAATGTTTTAAAAATTGAGAAATTGTTAAATTCAGACTAAAATTAGTTAAAAAAAATGGTTGAAATAACCTGAATATGCTGGTAGAGGAAGGCAAGTAGTGATTGGGGAAGGAAGAGGCGCCATTAAAGAGTAACTTTGCCACAGTAAAGCATAGTGCCCAACAACCATCCCACAACCAAGAACCCAGATTCCACGACGTAATTCACACCCACGAAGCCAGAAACCCAGATCTGGCCATGAACACCACCCTCACAAACCCACAAAACCCATTACCCATGAAATTACAAAATTAATTTAAGAGTAAAGCAACGAAAAAATTGAGGAATTTAAATAGAAAAATAAGAAACAATGGTGATGGCGACAAAGGGAGACTGAGTAACGGCAGCAAAGAGAGATTGAGTGAGTAAAAGATTGCAAATGAAGGGAAATGAAAGAGGAGAGAAGATAAAGAGGGGGAGGGCAAGAATTGACGGCTAAAGAGTGAAACCCTAATACGAGTAGTAAATGGGCTATGGGCTATAGGCTCCTCTCCATCAGTTGGACTAAATTATTTGTGACGGACACTTTTTGCCTGTTACGAATAACATATCGTATTTGTAACGAGAAATATTTTTCCCATTACGAATACTGTATATTTGTAACGGGAAGTATTTTGCCCGTTACAAATAATATATATTGTAACTGACACCTATTTTGACCGTTACGGATAAATTTAATGTAACGGGCATAGCTTGCGTGGTAGGCCTTGAAACAGCTTTGACATTGGGAGTGAAGAAATTACGAATATTCAGGGACTCTTCATTGATCATCAACCAGATTTCTAAGAGATGGAAAGTAAGGAGCGAAAGTCTATCCCCTTACAAAATTATTTGGAAACTCTCACAAATCAGTTAGATAATGTGGAATACACATATCTACCTAGAGAGAAAAATCAATTTGCTGATGCCTTGGCAAGACTAGCCTCAATGGTTAGAATTCCTACGGAAATCGGGCAAATGCCACTAACGATAGAAAAAAGGCATAAACTGGCTTATATTCAAGCTATAGAAGATGATGAAGTGATCAAGATGAAGAAGAAGAATCGTGGTACACAGATATACTTAATTATGTCACCAAAGGAGATTACCCTCCTCATGCTGACAAAAGAGCAAAACGAGCATTAAGACTTTTGGCTTCCCAATACGTACACATAGACAACGAGTTACATAAAAGGGTACCTAAGGGTCGATCTCTCTTATACGTAGGAAAAAAGGATGCTCAAAGAGCAATGAGGATAGTCCACGAAGGCATTTGTGGAACTCACGTAAATGGCAAAATGCTAGTCCAAAAGATAATGCGAGAACAATACTATTGGACTACCATGAATAGAGATTATCATCAATACGTAAAAAGATGCCCTAAGTGCCAAATTTACGCCAATTTACAACATGTTCCTCCATCTCTACTCTACCCCTACACTTCACCATGGCCATTCTCTACGTGGGAATTGACATTATTGGAAAAATTACTCCCCCATGAACAGGAGGTCATGAATATATCCTAGTAGCAATTGATTACATCACAAAGTGGGTCAAAGCACAATCATATGCTAAACTCACTGCAAAACATGTAGCACTATTTATCGAAAAAAATATTATTTGCCGATATGGAGTCCCACATGAAATGATAAGTGACAATGGAACTCACTTTCAAGCTGAGTGTGAGGAATTATTACAAAAATATGGCATTCAACACCATCATTGTTCTCCTTATAGACCTCAAGCAAACGGAGCAGTCGAAGCGACTAATAAAAATCTAAAGACTATCATCGAGAAAATGACAGAAAATTACAAGGATGGGCCTGACAAACTCCACTTCGCATTGTAGGGTTATCGCACGTCAATTCGCACATCAACAGGAAATACGTCATTTTCTTTGGTTTATGGAATGGATGTCGTATAACCTGTAGAGTTAGAGTTACCATCTCTACTCATTGCATTAGAAAGCAAACTCGATGAAGTTGAATAGACTAGGGCGAGATATGAGGAGCTAATACTTGATGAAAAACGACTAGAAGCTTTACATCATACTCAATGCTATCAAACTCGTATGGCTAGGCATTTTAATAAGAAGTTCAAGACAAGAAACATCAAAGTAGGAGACTTGGTGTTAAAAGCATTAAGGAAGCAAAATTATATTAACTGATATTGATGGCAATGAGTTCTCGAACATGACAAATCTTGACCAACTTAAAAAGTACTACCCATAATTACTTGAGTAGGATACTCAAGAGAGCTATGTTTGGCCTGATTCCTTAAGAAAGGATACGTAGGCAACCCTTTACGGGTGCGGCCACTATACTTTTTGCAAACCTCGCATCCCATATTTAAAAATAAATTTGACAAAAATTCGACGAAGCACCGGCGTCACAGAAAAAGTTTCGTCGCCAGCCGATTAACTCTAGCGCCAGACAACAGTGTATGTGGCCTGAAGCCAGACTGCCGCAACTGGCGCCAGTCGTGAAGAAGCGGCGCCATTTTTCTGGGAGCACCTAGGAATATTTCGGTGATTTTCGGAAAATTTTCGACTTCTGTACTCGAAAAAATTTCTGGAAAATTAAATTTTCAATTTTCATTGCTTTAATAAATTAAATTTGAAGGAGATATTAAAAAACTGAAATTTCATTAATAAAATAAACTAACAAATTACATTATTGATGGAATTTAAATAAAGGTTAAATAAAACAAATTAAATTTAAATTTAAAACTAAGTCTAATAATTGAAAGTTAAGCAATGCTTTAATCTTTTTTCTCCTTCTTTGCTCTCTTCCAATTTTTGTTTGTATACTCTTCATCATCCATGACTTTAGCTAGTAGGCATCCTTTAGAGGACCTACATTCTATTTTGGAGTAAATAATTTCTCCCTTAGCTAGGACTCCATGTTTCTTCTCTACCCAAGCCTTCTTCTCTGAAGTGTCAGCTTTTCTTTTCCCTTTATCCTTTGTAGATCTCTTCTTCTTAGGCATCGTAGGTGTTTTGAATTTAACCTTTTCAGCTAAGCGTTCCTTAACGGGAATCACTTTGTTACCTAGACGACTCTTCACATTAGTTTTACTCTGATTTTTCTTAATGTCCTTTGAAGACTTCTTCAGAAGCCACCTCTTCACATCATTAGGCAAGGAAGGAGGAACCTTTTGGGTAATCACTTCCCATAAAGGTCTAGCGCTCCAATAACCATCAAAATTTTCTACTTCTTGAGAAACAGGAAATTCATAGGGACGACGAAGATCCCCATAAAGAATTGTTTGAAGTAGGCCGTACTGTCTTTTTACCCTGCAGGGATAATAAAAAGTCATCTTGGATAAGCTTGGAAGACGACAGAAGGGTTGCTTGTTGACACCAACCATCTTCTCTATTTTCCACTAAGGGATGACCCACTTGATGGCAAAGTTGCAAGAGGCAAAGACCTTCTTCCACTCATGGAGCCCCATCTTAGAGAAGCGTTTCTTCCTTCTCGCAAAGCAATTTGAAGCCACCCCTCCCCTCAACTGCCACACCTTCCCTCCCCCTGCCGGCGGCCGGCGCCCCTCCCCCCCTGGCGGCACCAGAGCGACCCACCCCCTACCTTTCCCCCACCCCTACGCAGCGAACCCCCTCCATTTTCCCGTTCTTGCTGCCCCTACCCCCACCCCGAACCGCGCAGAAACCACCCCCTTTCCCTTCCCCTCTCACCGGAAATTTCCCCCCTCCCTATTCCCCCCACCGAAATCGACCCCCCCCCTTCCCCTACCCTTTCGGCCATCCCTAACCCTAAACTTCCTCCCTAAAACCACTCAAAACGAATTCAATCTTTGTCGGAGATGCCACTGGTGGGTTCCTTCAAATGCGTCAGGGTCTCAGATCGTCGGCTCGTTCTGCTGCTTTTGGTGGGGTTCTTCTTGCTTTGATTGAAGGTGCTGGGATTATGATTAATCAGATGTTGTTGTAGTTAGGGATTTGTAGGTACGCTCAAACGGGTGCGGGTGTGGGTGTGGGTGTGGGTGGTGGGTCTGAGCAAGGGAGTCAAAGTGGGGGCAGCAAGAACGGGAAAAGGGAGGGGTTGGTTGTGTAGGGGTGGGGGAAAGGGAGAGTGTGGGGTCGTGCCGGCGCCGGCAGGGGGTGGCAGTTAAGGGGACGGGTGGCAGTGAAGTGAAGGGTGGCTGCAAGGTGGTTGAATGGTGGCTAAACTTAACTAGCTGTTGTCGTGGGCCCCTCAAACAGAAACAATAACGGATATTATTGTGAATTACTTAGCTTGTAGTGCCATACCGCTGGATTTCACTTCGCAACAACGTCGAAAACTCAAGCACGAGGCCAAGAGATACATTTTTGATGATCCCATTTTATTGAAGAGAGGGGTCGATGGTTTGTTGAGGAGATGCGTCCCCGACGACGAGGTTCAAAGTGTTCTCCATATGTGCCACTCTTCTCCTTGTGGTGGGCATATGAGTGCTCAAAAGACCACCTCAAAGGTCCTTAAATCTATGCTCTTTTAGCCTTCTCTATTCAAGGATGCTTGGATATTTGTCAAGACTTGTGATAGATGTCAACGGATGGGGAATATTTCTAGAAGGGATGAAATGCCGCAAAACCCCATCCTTGAGCTTGAAGTTTTTTATGTGTGGGATATAGACTTCATGGGCCCTTTCATTTCTTCACATGGGAACAAGTATATTTTGGTTGCCGTTGACTACATATCCAAGTGGGCGGAGGACGTAGCTTCTCCAACGAATGACTCTAAGGTGGTGGTCAATCTTTTCAAGAAAGTGATCTTTCCGAGATTTGGGGTTCCAAGAGCAATAATTAGTGACGGGGGATCGCACTTCAAGCACCACACCTTCGTTCGACTACTTTATAAGTATGGGGTGTTATAGACACCCATTTGTGTCTCCCCAAAACCAAAACCAGTGATGAACACATTTCACGTCGAACCATAATCGAATAAGGTGAAAGTGTGAAAAGTCTAGTGTTGCGGTTAGTTTTTGTTAAAATTCTTTCTTTATGTTTTCGAAAACCCACTCTATTTTATGAAAACGTCCATTCCAGTTTAGTTTGGTACATGATATGGGTCCAATAGTAGTGTAGTTGGATGGAATTTGAAAAGAACTTTCCAACGATATATTATAAGCCCAATTCCGATGAATATCGAGGAAGTTATGGCCAAAATACTAAAGTGGGCCCAAACCGGATTTTACCTACGACCCAATGATCATGAGGAGGGTCCAAAGGTTTAATCCTATTCCTAAACTAATTAGGATTGATTAGAATCTTCTATAAGTTTCTAAAATATCTTAATTATCCTTTTTTGAAAAGATAAGATTAAGGAATTTGATTTAAATATAAACTTTCCTTTTTTTATAAAACTTTCCTTTTTTAAAGTCCTAATTCTATTCGGATTTAAACATGTTCAAAGACAGTCAGATATTATTTTCGTGCCTCATATTTTTTTTATCCAATTTTATATGGTTGGATAGATCTTGAAATTATCTTTCCAATGATATATTATAATA